ACTGAGACACCAACTTTCAACAGAAGACATGAAAACTAGTTTTAAAGTTGACCACAGAGGATAGATAAATAGGTAAGACACATGATGTTTTGAGGAGTGAAACCATTCTGTATAATGCTACAATTAATGCATTTCCTTATGTATTTGTCTAAAGTCATAGACTGAAACCAAGAATATCCCTAATCTGAAAGACTCTGGGCGATAATAATGTAACAATGCTGGTTCATCAGCTGTTAACAAAGGTACCACTCTGAGGTCTGGAGGGTTGGTCCAGTGGTTTAGAGCACTTGTTGTTCTTACAGAGGAGGACCTGGGTTTGATTCCCAGCACCCACATGGTAGCTTACAACCATCTGTAATTCCAGTTTCAGGGAATCAGACATGCTTTTTTGACCTCTGTGTGCACCAGACACACATATGGTATACATATATATATATACAGGCAAAACACTCATTCATACACATTAAAAACAAAAGGTACCACTTTGTGGGGAATGTTGATACCTGGGAGCAAGGGTGTGTATGTGGGGGCAGGATATTCAAGAGAAATCTTTATACATTTTTTTCTCAGCTTGGCTCTAAATCTAAAGCTGCTTTAAAAAGTCTGTTTTACACACACATGCATGTGCACATGTGCTCTCACACACACATTACAGAGATGGGCTCTGACACGTGTGAAAATTTAAGAAATCTAGTTCTTTTATTCAACACCAAAGCAAACATCAAGTGTTTAAAAAAGAATGGCACCTGCTTTGAATTCATTGGTGACACCACCATGAGGAAGATCTACAGAGAAATTACAATTTTAGGTAGATACAAAACTATGTAGTGTCCCACAAGATGGGAATTCTGCAACAGAGGTTACAATCAGCATTCCTGACATTATAGTCAGAGTTGCTGCTACTGACCCAGAGCGTCTGAAACACAGAGCACGTTTAGTTGAAATGTTTCTTTTAGGACAAACACAGTAGACATGCTTTAAATATATGAGAAGGGCAACATGTAAACCACCCTCAGAAACTCAAGGTGTTATATCACTTCTGGCCTCTTTAAGCGGAGAGTTGAATCCATGGCAGAAAATTGAATTTTTTTGCTTTATTTCTAACGAGTTACCCAGTTCCTGTTAAGGACACATTTTTAAAAGCTCTTTATTTTTTATACAAATAGGCCAATCAAATTATTTTCTGTGATTTGTCTTTTTAGACCTGTTAAAAGTTACCTGCTAATTTTGAACCACCTCTCTAAATAAGCCCGTATTCATTCCCTGGCCCAAGGTCAAAATTAAGGAAACATGCAAAATAGGTTGTTTAACCACACACACACATCCTTATCAATAAGCATACGTGTGTTTTTTTTTTTTTCCAAACCTCAGACAATCTGGATTCAACACCAAAACAACAACAAAAAACCCACTATACATTCCCATTCAACACAAAAATAATTTTGGCATTTAAAATTCAACCCAAAAGAACCAAAGTAATTAGTTGCTTGGGGGAAATCAGCTTCCTTACCACAGTCCAACCTATAATTAAGCCTGCTGCTGGAGAAGAGGCAGGGCAGTAAGTCCACACAGAGGGCCATACTTCAATAAAACAAGAGGGACAGGGTGTTAACGTGAATGAAGGCCAAGAACCCTGAAAACCACAAGGCCACAAGCCAGGAACTTGGGGTGGGGAGTCCCAAAATCAGTGAAAGTTCGTTCAATTACCATTGCATTGTGAGTGGTTGCTTTTTTTGGAAGTGGAGGGGGGCGGGGTGGGATTATTCCAGTTTAATCATATACAAAATATAAGCTGAAAAAATTCAAAACCCACAGAGAGAACATGTTTAATATTTGCTACTCTTTTATTTTAAAGTTCTGTTCTGTCTTCAATAAACACTCTTCTGGTGATTGATGATGATCATGTCACCAAAGCTCCAGAGTCCAGCATCTAGAATCCCTCACCAGTGTCCCCGAATGAGTAGGTATTTGCCTACTCACCGACCACTAGTTTTCACCAGGAGAAATGCATGAGATGTTTACTGCCAATGTAAAGTGCAAAACAAGACTGGCCGACCCAAGTGTGCATCAGTGCCAATCCAAGGTGTGTCACAGTTGTGTCACTGTCTCTAGTTGTGCATTTATACAATTCATTTCTTCAGTGTGTACGCTGCGTGTGCCAGAGAGCAAAAGCGGGGGGGGGGGGGGGGGGGGGGGGAGTTATAGCCCTTAAGAGAATAATGAACTGTAGAATCAAAGTCTCCTTGAACTACGCAATCTTCTTAAAAAATAAAAAGCTTCATGAACCTTCCACAAGACTGATGCAAGGATGCCCCAATGGGCTGCGCAAACCCAGGTAAAGAAGGGACTTGACATCTAATGGGAGTTGATGGAAATGCGAGTTGTTTAGACAGAATTTGTGATTTGGGTGCCGCCCCCCGCCCCCATTAGTTCAGGACGGTGTCAGTTTCTAACAGATTCTGTCCAAAGCTCAGACTGAAGGGTGTGGCATGTGCTCTAACTTCTTTTTTTTTTGGGGGGGGGGTGTTTTCGAGACAGGGTTTCTCTGTGTAGCTTTGCGCCTTTCCTGGGTCTCGCTCTGTAGACCAGGCTGGCCTCGAACTCTCAGAGATCCGCCTGCCTCTGCCTCTCGAGTGCTGGGATTAAAGGCCTGCGCCACCACCGTCCAGGTACTATGTCACCAGGGAGAAGAAACCAGGATCACAGGTCTGAGAAGTGTCCATCAAGAACAGTCTTGCTAGGCTGTGCGGGGGTGGGGGTGGGGGTGCTGGCATGAGAATAGGCCTGCTCTTCCTGGGTTCTCCTGGAGCCCTAACTGAGCCTCTAAAGTTGTATTCATACCCATTCTGTAAACTACCAGCAGCATTCACAGCCAACCCCGGCCCTGGCATGTTCTAAGTGCCATGTGGAAATAGTCATAAATGGGAATGGGAGACCAGCTTGCTTCAAGGTGTAGGCAGATGGAGTCTGATATCTCCTCCAGGTAAGAGAGCAGGCCATTAAAATATAAGACTAAAGGAAGATCATGGTTCTCTCTTCCTCCCTGCTTGACAAGAAACCTCCATCTGTCCCGTGTGGGGACACAATCATGGATAGACACCCCCATCCCTGATTTCAAAGTACTCTGCATTTCGTGTGTATTTTTTTTTTATTTTTATTTTTATTTTTATTTTATTTTTTTTTTTTTTTTTTGGTTTTTCGAGACAGGGTTTCTCTGTGTAGCTTTGCGCCTTTCCTGGAACTCACTTGGTAGTCCAGGCTGGCCTCGAACTCACAGAGATCCGCCTGGCTCTGCCTCCCGAGTGCTGGGATTAAAGGCGTGCGCCACCACCGCCCGGCTTTTTTTTTTATTTTTAACAAGCTTGACGCTGGAACTGTTTAGGGTAATGGTTCAATACATTGTGAATTTACTAACATTGCTGAGTTATTGATTTAAAAGTTGGGAGTCGGGGGGCAGAGGCTGGAGTTGTATGAGTCCCGCTCACAGAAGCTGGACTTGCACTAAATTGCTACTCCCCTTTACCCCTATCCCATCTGCAGGTGATGGTACTTAGATCTTTGAGAGTATCTTCTGGAAGATAGTAAACATTTAACAGCAGCTTTACACCTTCAGCAGGCGTGGTGCGACCAGAGACTGGCGGGCAGCATCCAACACAACCTTCTCTGTGGTGGACACAGAAAACCAGCTTCATTGGTGAACGGCACCCAGGGAACACAGCGGCGCTTGCCTGTTGTGTTCTGCTCACTGGCAGGTGCATGCGTTCTGTGACCTCCCTCAGGACTTGTCTTACTGCGTGCCTACAAGATGGACGACGGCAACTTAGCTTCGGCGCTGGACTCAATTCATCTTATTCTTGCTGCCCTTCACGTCCCTAAGTGGACCCTCCTGATCTCATCTGGGTATAAGGCTCCCACTAACCTAGCCACCATCCATCCGATTAGACCAAACGTCCAATCCCTCTTCGGCCTCCCGTGTCCTGCCTCGGCGCACATGGAGCTTTATGAAGTTTGATTTTGCTGTCTTTGAGAGAAATAAAACCTAGCAACAGGAGCATCATTTGTTTGCGTTTCCTGAACAAGCTTTGCAATCTGATCTCCGCCGACCTGAGAGTAAAGTGAATCACGTAAAAGTGCATCCCATTCTCTAAGGGGATTTATCACAGTTGACAATTGCCAGAGCAGAAGCCTCCCCAGGGATGCTCGCAGCACCCCGAGTTATCAGAGCTACAGTGTGATAAAAGCCTGGCTCCGTGCTCCGAGGGCAGGCCACTGCTCACCAGGTAGGATGAGCTCAGGTGTGTGCGCTTCCCTGGGCATAAGGAGAGCCTGTTAGTAAACCCTAGTGTCTACTGGGTATAAAGTGCAGCGCTACCAGTTAGGCAGACTTTTGCCGGAGAAGCAGCTATAACATTTCCATGTTACAAGGACATAACACAGTCGACCCAATGTGAACACCGGGTACATAACAGGACACAGGGTCACCCGGGGGGGGGGGGGCGGGCAAGTGGGATAGATCACAGAGAGACTGACTGAGCTGCCACAGACCACCCCCACAAGAGCTCAACGCCGCCAAGTCTTGTGTTTTGCTCACTCCCCTGAACCCTGCCATCTCCCTGCTGTTTGTGTGTGTGTGGGGGGGTCGCCTCAGAGAGAACACAGCTGTTAGCAATCATGAAGCTCAATGTGACAGAGATTCATGGGAAATAGAGGGAGGCCCCTTCCCTCTGGGTCACCCTTTACGCCAAGCGCTCCACGAACAGGGCTTTACCATGCCGAGCTCGCCAGGTGGGCTGGAGATCTGCTCTGATTAAGGCGGTGAGCAATGTGGGGGGAACTCTGGGCCAGGTTCACGTTAACCGCGTACAGGGACCGTGTTGGCAACTGCTACTGGGTCAAGAGATTCTAATTATTTACACCACACAGCTTCAGTCCTTCTCGCCATCTTTGGCACAGCCGTTCATTCAGGAATTTGGTCGTATGCACAGAGTTTTCTCCAAAATAAAAAAAAAAAAACAAAAAAAAAAAACTTGAGAGAACGTGAAGGCAGGAAGCAGCGGGCTCATCTTGGGATGATTGTCCTTTCTATGGCACACAGGATATGGTCCCAGTTTTTACAAAATATTGCAAGGAGAGTCACCACAAAGAAGGTGCCCAGAATGTGGAAGCGACTCTTCATCATGGGCGAGACGAACTTGGCCAGGGTGGACACGCACACCAGGATGACGGTCATGAAGGCCAGGACCACGTTGATGCATTTCCCCAGCAGCACCTTGGCGTTCACGGCATCCGTCTGCAGGGTCTGCTGCTCCTGTTGATGCAGCTCCAGCTTGGAGATGCGCGTCTGGCAAGATTCCAAGGCTTCCTGCGGGGGCGGGCGAGAGGAGAGCAAGGATCAGAGGCCGGCAGGAATCCCATGCCCAGATGTGCCGGAAGCCCCAGCTCAGAACCCCTGGTGCCTGGGCAGCTTCAGATCTCCAAACTGATGGTGAGGGACCAAGCTACAAGGCAGGAATCCCAAGACTCTGCCCTGCCCTGGGTAGTTGTATACATGTGTATGCAACCATAAAGCACCACAAGTGAGCGCTATGGTGATCTACTTTGGTTTGTTTGGGTTTTTTGTTTGTTTTTGTTTTGGGTGACAAGGTCTCCTGGGAAGTAGCCCAACCTGGCCGTAAACTTCTAATCCTCCTGCCTCAACCTTCCCAAGTGCTGGGATCTGAGATTTGAGTCACATACTATCATTTCCCGGCCACATCCATTTCCGTACATTTATGCAGGACATACGGTGAGACGCAACACTGGCATCTGTTGGCAGGAACAAACTGAGACAGGGTGGAGCCACCTCCGAACCCCACCAGGACTCTCAGGACAAAGGTCCAAGAGCACCCCTTGACACGTCGATTGTCCAACCATCAGTTGGCTCCACCAATGTAGCACCCATTATCCATCTTAATCCATTTTTTTCCTCTCACACAGTCCCCGTTCCATTTGAGGACACCAGGACCTCTTGCTTGCCGTGATTTGACATAAATGTCACCCCCATATGCTCCACAATCCACATTCCCTGTAACAGTCCAAGCGACCTTTGAAAGATACACACATCGGACACCCCCCTTTTCATTCACACTTTCTAAATCCTTGCTAGGCCTACCTATGCTCAGCCGTCTTTTCCTGCCTTCACACAGTGCTCCGGCCAAACCGATTTCTTCCAGGTTCTGAACATGCTGGGGGACTCTGTCCACGCAGTACACACTGCAGGAAACACCGACGCGCCCCCTCTTTTCACCCGTGGATCTGCCACGTGTATCTCAGAGGTCTCGTCCTCAGGGACATGGCCTGAGGGAAGCCCTCCCTGACCCAGCAAGTCTCCAGTCAGCCTTTCTGCACGGCTGGGAGGCACATAAGTTGCATGCAGGCAGGGACTAGTCCCACCTTGCCCTCACTGTCCACTTCAGGACAGAGCAATGCTTGCTGCATTGAGGCAGGTACCACATACTGGCCGAAGAGCCTGGCTGCCACTGACAGGATGTCAGTTTCCAGAGGCAAGCCCGAGCCCCTTGGGAACAAAGAGCCTCACTGACGGCGGCACGGCATGCCCCGCTCCTCCTCCAGCGCGGTGGCAATCATTTGCCAATGTGCCTGTGCAGCTGGGTACGGTCACCTTTCCAGGCTTTAAGCAAGTATAATGGTTCCAACATTGATTTGCTTTTCTCCTGCTGAATATACTCTCTGGGCCAGAGAACAGGGCTCTCTGTTACTATAGCAACTTTCATTATACCAGGCTACCGACCAAAGGATAAAACTTTTTCAGATCTTCACATTTAAACGGCGCTGGCTGACGGCGCTAACAGGCATGTGCGGGAGGGCGGGTTTGCTTTCAGCCTTCGGGCCCGGGATTTTTTTTTTTTTTTTTCCATTTTAGGCATGGCATGAAAAGGGTGACAGACCAAGACAGAGGGCTGTCATTTTTGGCACTTTGACTCAGTTTAGGGCAGAGAAGTCCACATCTCCTCGGACTAATCTTAGAATTCACCTTAGAACCGCTGCCAATTTCTTACTAAAAAAGAAAAAAAATCCAAGAAAATTTAGGCAGCGAATTGCAAGTCAGTTTGCCCATGACGGGCATCAGGAGATGCTAAGCCCCACGGTGGCCAGGACGTCCTTGGTGCAGTATCTAACTTGTTTTGGATGCAGACAGAGGAAGGGATTATCTTCAGTAGTTCAGACTGGCTATTCAGGCTTTTAAAGGGGTGTGGGGGGGGGGAGCGGGGGTGGGGGTGGGGGTCGGCCAGTTAAAATAACAGCAAACACTGTGTGGGTCTGTGGGCACTGGCCACGTGCCCCATCGTAGCCCATCCCTGTTGGAAGTCCACTTACAAGAACCAAGGACATAAGCAACAGAGGAAATCGGAGAGGTTGGATGCTAAGAGCCTTGAGGAATGTTGCTACTCAACAGTGAGATAAAAAAGAATAGCAGCAGGGACTTCTTGCCTGTTTATTACGCGCCTGGCGAAGACTCGGGCGCAATAAACGCCTGAACATTCTCTTTCATCTTCTGAACTTTTTGAAGACGAGGGATCGGAGGCACACCGCACTGACTTGGCCGGGCTCACACGGAGACTGAGGAGTAGAGCCTGCTTTGAGGCTCCGCGACCCTTGTCATCTAGCGAGACGCTCTTTCTAGTTCTGACTAGAGACCGGAGCTGGGGGATGTTGAGATGAACTCTTCTGAAGTTAGAGTTCCCTCTGTGGAGCCCCTCCCTAGGTCTGACCTCCTCACTCCCAGAATGGGTTTCTTAAGAAATGAGAACAACGTTAATCCAAACCATCTCCTAAATGAGGAAACGGCACATCCAGACACCACCCCGTGATATCCCCGACCTGTTCCAAAGTAGGATGGCCTCGCGGCTGGGTGAGACGGCCCAGCGGGCGAGAGCACTGGCTGCCAATTCTGAGGAACTGAATTTGATTCCTGAGACCCACAGGTAGAAAGGGGAACTGACTCCTGCAAGTTCTTCTGTAATCATCGGATGCGTGCTGTGGCACACACATGCGCGCACACACACACACACACACACACACACACACACACACACACGAGTAAATGTAATAAAAAATGTTTTAAATAGAGTGACTTAACAGATGATAGTTCTGTTCCCCAGGCCAGTCACTGGGGACGCTGAGGCTCCTCTCACTCAGACAACAGCCTACGGAGTCCTCCAGTGTCCCCTGCTCTCTGGGGACAACGTTTCCCGTCAGCTCTGAAGCTCTGCTTCCCAGAACTGTCCAAGCAGACCTCTGGGATCAGCAAACACACCCTCCACCAGGGCAGAATAAAAGGCACACAGCCAAACTGCTGCACGCACACCAGGTTGAAACCGCCATCTTTTATGGTTCGGCCTTCTTCTCCCTGGTGAGCTGGGATTCCGAGGGCCGACGGCCTTCCTGACGCTCACACACAGACTACAGAGGACATCTGAAAAAGTGAGACTCTCCCTGGTTGTTCTTACCATCTCTTTAGAAAGGTGATCAAGAAGCGAGGGTTGTTTTATAGCAGCCTGGGGGTTGCAGAAGGAAGCCCTGCAGCTGGCCTTTGCTTATGACACGAACTCTATGTAGATCTATCTGCTCATCCCTTCCTGTCAACCTTCTGGGTCCCGTCTAGCCCTTTCAGTCCAGCCTTCCTAGCCATTCCCAAGGGACAACTTGTGCGGCCCTGTTCGGGTCACATCTCCTCTTTGTGCCTCGGTCTCCAGATCTGAGAAATGGGGACAATGATAGGAGCCACCTCCAAGGGCAACTGAGTAAACAGAAAAAGCAGAGCCCTGGGCAGCGCTTCGGTGGAGGCTGGGAGTCCAATGCTTGACATCCTTATGATACAAAACAGTTGCTTTACAGATGAAGAGACTCAAAGCTTGCTCAGAACCACACTGGGTAGATATCAGACCCGGGACTCAAATCCAGTGTTCACCACAGAATGCCTGACTGCCATCCCTCCTCCCTCCTCCTACCCCAGCTAGTGGGGCACAGCAGGACTGGATTTCTGCACTACGGAATGCGGCTCTTGGTCACGCCCTGCCCACACAGGAAGCTTCCTGAAGGCAGGGCTGCCCAACACTTGAAATTTCGTAAAATTCTGGTGGGGTTGGATCTGGCGATAAACACTTGCCAACTGAGTTAGGCAACAGGAGGGGAGGGTAGAAATCTCTCAGTGAACACTGTCAACATAAGCCAGGAGGGCCAGGAGGTGGATGGGAGACGTCTGTGCCGAGAAAACAAGTGTGGCTCCCACATGCACTGAGGGCTTAGGGACATGCACCAAGTTAGAATGTCTCACGAGCCTGGCCAAACCCTACCCCAGGGTTCAGTCAGGAGGGGACCCGTACCTGGATGTCCCTCGAGCGCTCATAGGCCTGGTAGGCCACCTTCTCCTCGGCACTGGCTAGCTCCTGCTTCAGGTTGGCCGTTTCATGCTGGTGAAGCTCCGTCAGGTCGTGCAGCTGGTCTTCCAGTCGCTCATACCTGAAAGAGACAGGAGCCCACACTGAGCACATTCGCACGCGTCCCAACGGCATGCTCTAGAATGACGTCCTTTTTTTGTCTTGGGGCCCCTGGCTTGTTTTCATCCCCCACGAGACATTCTCTGAAAGAGTGGGTCTATTTGTGGGGAACATGATTTGGGTTACCCGGGAATCCCAATTCTAGAAGGGACCTGTCTCTACAGTCTTAACTATTATGCCATCATCTTTGAGGCTTTACCAAGATCAAACCTGTTTTTTTTTTGTTTTGTTTTTTCCCACCCATGCCCGACCAGCACCTAGACTGGCTGCCATGACGACAGATAAGACTCTGTCAGGGATGCTGCTGCCTCTAGCTAGGAGACGGCTATGCAGCAAGGACAAGCCAGGACCGGCCACATCTGCCGTGGCTTCTCCCTCTCCTGCCCATCAGTAATCGGGGTCTCACGGCCACACAGCCTGCGAGGGGAAAAAAAAAAAAAAAGTTTCTCACTCCCGTCGTCCACCCCACCATTTCACGCTGAACACCCCGACGTGCTTTTCAGCTCTTAGTCTTTAACTGCTCATAAATAATTAACCTCCGGGCTGGAGAGATGGCTCGGCGGTTAAGAGCCCTGGCCACTCTTCCAGAGGACCCGGGTTCAAACCGCAGCACCCACATGGAGGCTCACAACTGTCTCTAACTCCAGTTGTAGGGGATCTGACGCCCTCTTCTGGCCTCGTGGGCACTGCACGCACATGGTGCACAGATACACACTCGGGCAGAATACTCATACACATAAAAAAAAATTAAAACTTTAAAAAACCTACTTTAAGCTTAAGCACATTGTAAATTATAGACAGCTATGGAACAGCATATCCAAAAATCCAAAAGTGAGGGAAAGACAGTTCCTTTCCCACACCTACCTCTGAGAAGAGGATTTGGGTCTTATCTGAAACTCTGTCCTGCCTACTTTAAAGACGGTGCAGTATCTCGGGAGGATGTCTTAGCCTGGAATGACTGGCCCACGCCAGTTATAGACATTTATGTAGGCCATCTGATAGGATCGTTTTTGGTTTTTTTTTTAAGTAGGTGAAAGGTTTAATTCAGATTTTGATTTTATCTTCAGGCTCAGCTTCATGGGTGGCAAACGTCATGACTGTTCTAAGCAAGCCTTCTGAAGTCTCTTAGGTAATTCACCTAAGGACTATGTCGCCAGGATCACAAACCAAACAGAGGACACATGACGGCAAAGATAGCCCAAAGCTCACACAAGTGAGGATTTGTGGTTTGGGATAAGACATGCGTCCAAAAGATACTGTCTCTCAAACTATCTGGATGAAATTAAGGTCAACACATTCTCGGAGAAGCCACGGCTTCGAAAACAGTTCTCACGCGATGAACACGCTGAAATCCAAGACGCATACGTAAAGTTAAAAAATGGTTGCAGGGCTGGTGATATGTCTCAGTGGTACAACACACACTTAAGATACATGAAGCCCTGAGTTCAAATCTTGACATCGCAATAAAGTTTCATAAAAATGAAAAAAGAGCCATATTCTAAATTATGACAAAATTATATATCAAGTATAAAATAATGTGTAAGTTAAATGTGTAATTACAATTTAAATATTTTAGTGTAATAAACATTCATAATTTACTTTACATTCTTAGAAGTTAACCCATTTTGTAGTACTTTGGGAGGATCTTTTTAATGAGCAAAATGGGGCAAATAATCTCACATTTGGTTATCTACATTCTTTATTTAAAAGCAGTAAACATATAAACGCCAGCTGATAAAACACACACTTTTACAAACAGTTGAGAGACCCCAAAAGATTTGGATTAGTATATTAATCTCAGGATGGTGACTAAGACCCACTCACTTACAGTAAAATGCTTGTGTGTGTGTGTGTGTGTGTGTGTGTGTGTGTGTGTGTGTGTGTGCATATTAATATCCGTGCTGTGGGTGTGTACAGAGGCCAGAGGCTGATGCCAGGTGCTTTTCCTTGCCATTCTTGACCTTATTTTCTGAGATTGGGGCTCTCACTGAACCTGGCTAAGCTGGCTGGCCAGCATGTTCTAGGGAACCCGCTGTCTCTACTGCCCCCTAGTGCTGGGGTTCCAGACCTGCGCAGCCTTGCCCGGCTTTCACATGGGTGCCGAGTATCTGGTGTAGCAAGCACTACCTCGTTGTCCAATGAATTAGGTTCACTTGACTGGTATTATGGAGGGAAACAGGTCTCTAAATTAGCGTAATAAGACCATCACAGAAGCCTGATGAATCAATGTCTTAATATGCACGTGAGTCACAGCTTGGGTAATGATGTTTTAAGAGACCCACGCATATAACGTCTGCCTCTAATTATCAGCCGTAAGCCAGAAATGAGGGAACTCTATAGAGTTATGAAGGATGGAAAGAATTATCAATTTTTAAATGCCTCTACATCCACATCCCTATTTATTGCCAACACCTTCGTTAGCACGTGACTTTTTTTTTTTTTTTTTTTTTTTTTGTTTTTTCGAGACAGGGTTTCTCTGTGTAGCTTTGCGCCTTTTCCTGGAGCTCACTCGGTAGCCCAGGCTGGCCTCGAACTCACAGAGATCCGCCTGGCTCCGCCTTCCCAGCACGTGACTTTTTAAGCAGCCATGGCTGGTAACTCGCGTGTCTAAGGGAATCCCAGCGGAGGACCCGGACGGACGTACCTGTACCTCTCCTCTTGCAGGGTCTGAGAGATGAAGCCATATTCCCTCTTAAACTGCACCTTCAGCGCCTCGATGTCCTCCGCCAGCTGGGCTTGGGTGTCCTTGATCTCCCTCAGCTCCTCCAGGATCACGGCCAGCTTGCCCTGGCCGTCCAGCGTGCCGGCCCCAGCGGCCCCGAAGGACTGGTTCCCGTTGCTGTCCGCCGAGCCCGAGGTGCCGCTGGAGCACTCGTCATCGCTGCCGTACTTGGGTTTGTTCACGATGGTGGCGCTGCCCCCGTAAGCCCTGGCGCTGGCCTCGGGCCTGAACTCTTCCAGGGAGTTTTTCAAGTGAGCGATGTTGTCGGCGCTGCCGAACTTATTCCGGATCAAGTTGGCAAACTCCCTGGACTTGTTGAAGACAAACACCGGGGGCGTGAGGGACACCCCGGGCATGCTCGACTTACTGCTCTCCAGGCAGTGGGGAGCAGTTCGCGATTTCACGTGGGCATCCTTCAGCGAGTGGTGTATCTCCTTCAGGCTGTCTTTGGAAATGTCCTTGGAGCTCCTGGAGGCTCCGTTCTGCTCGATCTCCCTCAGCTTCCTGTGGTACTGCTCCAACTTCTTCTGCAGCTGGGCGATGGAGTGCGCCGACTTCTGGTTCTTCTTTTCGAAAACTTGCTTGATGCGCCCGGCCTGCTGCTTGTCCGCGCTGCTGACGAGTTTCAGGTACTCGGCGACGTTCCCATCGCGGGACGTCTGCTCGATTTTGATCTGCTCTGTCACCTTTAAGATCTTTTGTTTCAGGCTGTCCGCGCTGGGTTTGACCTTGTGGAAGTCCAGGATACCATCTGGGACATCAAAGTTGAGGTTGGTGTCGGAGCCCCCTCGGCGTATGTTCAGGGGTAGGCTGAGGGTATTCATGTCATGACGTTCTACCTGCAGGGACATGAGAAACACATTGACACCTGAAGCAAACGAGACATTCAGTGGGACAGAATTTGCTCACGCACACGGGGCACACACATTCAGTCCTAGATGGTCCGACGGCCTGTGTCACAGGATGGGCACTCTGTACTAATCCTCCCAAGCTTAAGAAGGTAGGTCAGCCCAATTCCTTCCTCCATCTGTGTGTGCTGTACACTGCCTGGATGTGAAATCCTATCTCCGGTGTAGCCGATTCGCCATCTGTATGTGGTAACTGTCGGTGGGTGGCCAGGGTAGAAGATGCATAATGGAACGAGGAACCCAGTCAGTTCTGGTTTCTCAAGTACCCATGTAATTTGGAAGGCTTGCTCCTCACAGTGTGACCTCTAATACAGAACCCAGTCATTTAACAAGACAAGGGAAAAGGAAAAAGGGGAAAGGGGAAAGGAAGAAGAAGAAAGAGGAGGAGGAGGAGGAGGAGGAGGAGGAGGAGGAGGAGGAGGAGGAGGAGGAGAAGAAGAAGAAGAAGAAGAAGAAGAAGAAGAAGAAGAAGAAGAAGAAACTTTAGCAGATACACCCATCGAGAAAATTATTTTCAAATAGAACCATTAAGCAGATATGACAGAACTGTATGGTGCATGATTAACTTTGATAATTGAATAATGTAACGGTATCTCTATAAGGAAATAAATAACTCCAAACTACAACCACAATGATTAAAACAAGCGAATAGATGATCACACAGAGGTTCTCAACCTTCCTAGGGCTGCGACCCTTTAACACAGCTCCTCATGCTGTGGTGACCCCCAAACATAAAATTATTCCATTGCTACTTCATGACTGTAATTTTGCTACTGTTACGGACCATACTGTAAATATCTGATATGAAGGATGTCTGATATGGACCCCCAGGTTGAGAACCACTGTGATAACACAAAGATAACATGACACTGCTTTTACATTTGCAGGTTGTCCAGACTAAGAACTATAAAGCAGTACTGGGCATCATGGTCAGGGTCAGAAGTTTGTGCTCTACAAGGGAAGATCAAAATCAGACCGCGCACTAAATTTGCAGATGTGTTCACAGGGGTTATCTTGTTCGATCCTTATGACCAAACTAGGCCTGGATCACGCCAAAGCCACACACATGTTTCTATAGAGCCAGGGTTTGAATCCAAGCCGCCTCTCACCCTATTACTCTGACACTGTCCTCAGAGGATGGAAAATGAGTCACTGGAGAGGCTGACCGTACCTCCAATTACAACATCTAGACTGGAGCATCTCAGTCGTTGAGTTAACATCCCCTCGATAGGAATAATGCCTTGATGTTACCCAACAGGAGACAAGGTAATATTTGGTGGACGTTACCCCCCTTCCCACCCTGTAAAAGGACCAGTAAGCTAGGAGCAAAAGGTTAGTAAGGAACGAAATGGACAGACAGACCTCACAGTGTCTGAGTGACCCCAGGCAGACCACGTTCAACACGAGTATGAAGTCGGCCACCGTCCGAAATCCTGCCCGGTGCCTCATCAGGAAGAAGCGATTCTGTCAGGAGGCACAGGTCAGCATATGAAGCCTCTGACAAAATCTGTACAAATTTACTAGCGTTCCCTCTCGGCCCCTCTTCCTACACACAGGTGCCCTTCCACGTTGCTTTTTCTGGTGGGAGAGCATCATGAAGGGTCACGAAAGTCAGGCTGGAAGGAAGTAAACGCCAAATCACTGTGAGACTAGAAAACAAGATGTGTGTAAAAAGAGGACGGGGGAACCTCGGCTTTGGTTGGTCAGGAAGGAGGAGTGTCAGGTGCATGGTGATCTTCGAGGTGGTCACGGAGAGCTCTGGGAAGCCGCGTACCCATGGCTCATTACTGAACTGGAAGAGCGACGGGTCCAAATGAGAACATCAGCAAAGATGAAACCTAGAACATGCTGATTTGCCACAGGCAGGGCAGTTCATGGGGCTGTACGGCCATGAGGCTGGGAATTGAACGTCACAGGAGATAACAGATCTGATCACACTTCCACGGCACAGACTTGGACTTCCAAAGGCCCTCCAACTGAAACCACACCTCCCAGCCACTGCGAGGCCCCAGCTCACCTTTGAAGCCTCAGTTGCCTTTGAGGGATGCCATGTATCCCAAGTGAGCCAGTCCGCAATGAGCGGAGAATGTGAGCATCCTATGGACCGTCTCGCAGTGTCCGCTGCTCATCTACTTCGGATCAACAGCCTACCGTGCTGCTGAGAGCTACTCAAATGCCTCTTCCCAAGCTTCCCCAGGGCCGGCAGAAGCAGTTTCATTCTGCCAGCCTTCTTGCTGCCCTTTTATCCTGTGGTCCTACTTAATCCTGCTCTTATTGCTCATCAGCAGGAGAGTGGAGCAGGAGAGATGATGTCACCGCTGTACCCAGCCTTGGCCAGCACTTCCTTTATTCACAAAGGGATGTCAACAACGGATCCACTAAAATGACATCATTCCTTATTTCAAGGAGTCTACACTGAAGTCATTCAAGTTACCGATTCATAGAATAAAGAACGTAGCCTCAGGTGTTCTGGCCATATAGCCCTGACAGTTCTAGGTAGAGCTGTTTCCCAGAACCCAGGTCGTTCCAAACAGATTCAACTAAAAAGAAACCTGAGTATCACCGTGTGACAATACACACACATCCAAATAAGGACTTCCGATCTTTAAGTGAAGTGTGACTTACACTCAGGGAAGATGTCAGTATGTAAAACACCATGAACATTGACAATCTGAACATGTTGTGGACCTGCGTGTTTAAATTGTTAAAATGAGTTTAAAGCAAGCAGAAGCACTCCTGGGCCCTGTCAATCAAGGCTACATTGCTCTTCCCCCCAGGGGAATCCCAGCAGTGTCCATTGGCTTGGCCTATTTACACAACATTCTTGTTACTTTTTTTTTTTTTTTTTTTTTTGCCCAACCCTGTTTATGATTCCGTAAGCACTTGCTCTTGCCCTCTTAGAATCCACAGATAAGATCAAATAAAGTTATAGAAATACCTAAAACAACTGACATTCTTTTTTGAGGATTCTCCTACTATGTCTGAAGAGAAACGTTTGATGGTTTACCTGGAAAAACTCGTCAATAAGCCACCACCTGCTCATCTTCCTCCAGCTCTCCACACCCCTGGGCTGGTCAGCCACCGAGGTAGTCCCAAGGCAATGGGCCGGGTTCTTTTAAAGGCTGCAGGTCCGGAACAGCCTTATCTACAGAGACGTTGTTTACTCCCAGGAGGCAGACCGACTTCTGCCTTACTTTAAATTTGTAACAATGTTTGGCATGTCCTCAAGACTCTGGGTTGGGGAAAGCCAACAGCACTTACAGCTCAGATCTGTCAGCCTTACTGCCTGTCAGCAAATCTCAGTTAAAAACCCCCAAAACCTGTTTGGGGGTGCACATTTTGGTCTTTTATATAAAGCTTGACCATTGCACAGATAACGGAGGGCCAGGTATACATTGCTCATTGCCCACAGATTTCCTGGGTGTCAACTGAGACAACTCGTTATGTGTGAGGAAGAGAGCTGAAGCCGGCCCGCCCTGCATGGCTTATCTTGAAATTGGCCCCGGCCCCTGGATGATGCAACTTGCTTTCAGAATCAGGCTGTGGGAGGAGGTCAGAGGTTCCCAGATCACCTGCAGTTAACATGTATATGAACTGTGTGTATGAGGGAATGTGAGTTTGTTCCAGCACTGATATTTACTAGCTACATGCTTTTGGGTAAACTAAGTCACACACGTGGGATTCTATCACCCCATCTGCAGAATGGGGCGGGGGGGGGGGGGGATAGAAACAAGAGTGAATGTTGCATCATATGAGGAAATACAGCGTACTGTAAACTGAAGTTGGTAATGGCACAGGTCCAGGCTGAGGGCTCTGGAGGCAGACTTCACTCCTGCATCTTACCCCTCTCCTTACAGACCGAACAGCCTCTGCAAACGACTTACCCTCTCCTTGCCTCCGTCTCCTCCTCTGCAAAATGGACTTAAAGATTCTTTAGAGAAGGGCTGGGGAGATGACCCTTACTGGGTAAGGGTGGTTGCTGTTCAAGTATGAGGACCTGAGTTCAAATCCCAAGCACCCATTAAAAAAAAAGGCAGGGTATGGCTGTGCACATGCGTATAACCCCGTGCTGTGGAGAGTGTGGAGCCTAGAGGATACCGGGGCTTTCTGGTTTCTAGCCTAGCTCTGGGTTTAGTGAAAAGCCCCTGTGTCTCAAGGGAATACAGTGGGGAAATAAATGAGCAGGATACCCAAAGTTCTCCACACATGCACACACACACACACACACACACACACACACACACACACACACGCGCGCGATATTCTCCAGTCGCAGTGAAGAATAAATAGATAACACACAAAGAACTGCAGAACCCCGGTCCACAGAATGGCTTCCATCAGCGTTTTCTGTCATCTCCCCAATTTCATTTAAAAGCATACATACTTTTATGTAAAATGTGAAAGAAAAACAAGCACCTTTGTATTAACCACGGCTATTTTTGCAACGCGGGGTTAGGAGGGGTCATTCTTTATCATGCTCCTTCTGTGTTATCCCATTAAAAAAAAATTAAAGCCAACGTAACATTGTTTTGGCAGGAAGAGTGGCTGTTTTTATTAAGGACGGCTGACTCTTCCCGTCCTCCCACAACGCCCTGGCCGTTATTACTTGGATAAAAGGCAGACCACCAGCCTCCTCGTGAAATACCATTTCTAATTGTGTTTTCTTCCGGTGGTGGCGGCGGCGGCGGCGGCGGCGGCGGCGGCAGAGACATTTTCACTGTTACCCTCAGCGTGCTGGAACAAAGGCTGAGGAAAAGGCTAAGCCCTGGACAGACGTCAAAACCTGACCCTGAGTCATCTCAGCAGCGAATCAGGCCTCTCGAGCAGCAGCGTCCCAAGGTAACTCACATCCACCCTGACTTCTGGTACAACGTGGTCCTTAGGAGTGAGCACAGGGCTCAGCGCTTAGGCTCGCTGCTGCACAGTTACCTCTCTGGTCCCTACAGGAAGAGACCAGATGTGCAAGGACACCCTGGAAGCCCAGGCAACAGAGCCGGAAGGAGCAGGGGGCTCCTGTGCATCCTCTATGGTTAACATGTAGCCTGTCCCAGAGGTCCCCAGAGGTCCCCAGGGGTCCATGTGCCGGTGCCGAGGTGGCACAGCCATGAGAGGAAGCCTTGGTGGTTCTGCTGTCATGGACAAAGTCACAGCTAGGCTGGCTTCACAGAAGTACGTTTCCTCACTTGGGAGCGGGTTGTTAAAGGTAGGGCCACCCCGCATTCTCGGCCCCCTCCGCACACGTCGGGTTCCCTTTCTGCCCCTCTGCCATCTTCTGGTGCAGCTGGTGGTGGCGGGGCTCACCAACAGGATGCTGGGGCCACGCTGTTTGGACTCCTGATTGCTCCATTATCATGGACCAAGCAACCAACCGATGATGGCCTAAGAGATCCCTAGGAGACATGGACTGAGGCTCAGAATTGCAGATGCCTAGTCAGCTCAGAACAACAGATGGCTAGTAACTGTCTGTTTAGTCCCAAGGCCAGGCACAAGAGACCTCTGCCACAGAAAGGTAGCCTGAATTGGGACACACAAGGAAAGGGGCAGGGCCTTCCGACAGGCAGCCACTTCTACAACAATGGGTATTTCAGGACACCTAAAGGTGCAGATTTACACCCAGGCCACAAGGGGCAGCATGGTCAGAACCCAAGAGTTTTGAGGGGGGCCCCCGTGGCCAGGTATCTCATCACTCTTAGTGTTCTTGACTGTTTTTAACTTGGCTCAGCTGACTTCTGCGTTTCCGGTCTAGAGTAAAGGTTGTTCCTACAGTGTGCCAGCCAGGATATGCAAGGCTTTGCCATGGCAACAGTGTCAAAATCTCAGCGGCTCCCCACTCCTGACCCCCCATTTCTCTCTCTCTCTCTCTCTCTCTTAAAGGTTTATTTCTTGCTTATTCCAGCCGCTCAAGTCAGCTGTAAGACCCCAAGCAGTGCTGGAACCTATACCATCTGGGATGCTGTGGAGCTGTATGTACACCACCAGCTCCTTATGCATCTCCCAGAGAGACATGTCGTCGGTGACTTGCTCCACAAATCACGAGCCTCTATGACTCCTGGGGACAAGGAAGCATTATCCTACTTCAAGCCAAAGAAGGACAAAGTCACCTCAGTGACACATACAGGAGCTTATCTGTGAAACACACTGAGGTAGATTCTACTGTTGATACTGATTTTGCAAACGAGGGAACCAGGCACCGGGAAGTTAAGTCAGTAGCAGGACAGAAGTCCAAGCCTTCTTTCTCTCGAGCTTGTTTCCCTAACAGGACTGAGTACGTCTGTGTGAATTAGGCACAATGCTAAAGCCTTTTTAGCGCCCATATATCTTTCATGCTAGCCCTCTTTTACGAGAACACTGAGGCTTACAAAGAAAATAAATGTCGCTTGAAGCCCATGGATAACACACAGTTTAACCGGATCTCAACTTGGATTTATGAAATACTCAAAGCTGATTGTATAAATAAATAAATAATAAATAAATAAACTTACTCTACAGTGCTGTTAACATGGCTGCCTGAGCTTGTGTGGGCTCTGGGCCTCAGTGAGAATCTCGTCAGAAAATTTTCCTTCATCACCAATTCTGGACCTGTCACTTCCAATAAGAGGTCTGCCACAGAGCCCTGGTGTGGCTTTCTGGCATGTCCCCATCTCAGGCTGGATCCATGTTGTAAAATATGAGCAGTGGTTTAGGCCAAATGATTTTATGAGGACTAAAAGTTTATTGCTTTTATGGCAACAATACCTGAACATTTACAGTCACCAAGGGAAAAGAATGAGAAGTATAAGGGAAAGAAAGGAAAGTAAGGGATGTGCTGTGGAATAATGCTCTTGTAAACTGGTTTAATAAAACGCTGATTGGCCAGTAGCCAGGCAGGAAGTATAGGCAGGGAGAGCAAATGAGGAGAATTCTGGGAAGAGGAAGGCTGAGTCAAGAGACGCCAGCCCGCCGTCCAGGAAGCAGCATGTAATGGCACACAGGTAAAGCCACGGAACACGTGGCAACATGTAGATTAACAGAAATGGGTTGAGTTTAAGTGTAAGAGCTAGACAGTAGTTAGCCTGAGCTAATGGCCGAATAGTTTTAATTAATATAAGCCTCTGTGTGTTTACTTGGGTTTGGTGGCTGTGGACCAGGCTGGACACAGGAAAACTTCAGCTACAGGGATGGAGGTGGGTGGGGGAAAAAGAGGATTTGGGAGTGTCTACATGCCCAGCAAGTGAGGGCCTGGCATCTGGAATGGCACCCAGGGCAGGCCTGGAGGGAGGGCAAAGTTCCTGTCCTGTGCAGGGTGATTCTCCTGAGGGATGGAGGAGCTGTGCA